GCTTATTTGATCAGGGTTAAAATGGGATATGTTGTTATTTTGGGGGGTTCTTTCTGGACTTACTGACATTTGGACTGGAAATGATGTTATGTATTGGATGTGCTTGCAGTTAAGAGTTGAGATATGGAATGAGTTTTATCAATCAATCAATCAACTTTATTGATTTAGTCTATTGACCATTTCAAGTATAAAGGAATAAAATAAAAAGCCATTGTAAACATACAGCTTTGTGCAATGGCAGTATCGTAGCCAATGAGGTTTATCCAAGGCATGATTATTGCTAAATGATGATTTTTATATTGTTAATTACTGTGATTATTTTAGGGCTCTGTTTGGACTTTTTGCTGACACCTGGATTGGAAAAGACATTGTTTACTGGATTTGCCTATAGTTAAGAGTTGAGTTATTGTCAGCCTTACCAGGTAGACCAGCCAGGAAACATGACCAGTGAGCTAATTCTACTTTATTGTAAGGCTACATTAACAGAATCTTGCAAGTCTGAAAGTACAATTTTCTCCCCATCTCCTTTACACCTCAAAAAAATTAGGGAGGGTCTCTTCTGAGCCACTTGCCCCACTCACTATCCAGCTGCTGGCTATGCTGTCCCTTATTTGACTGTTCCTTAGGCACTGTCTCTGGGCTCCATCTCAACAAGGTCATTCCCACATACCATTAGAGTTATGGGATGAAGAGTGTTATATCTGTTAACTAAGAGGAGGTGAAGAGATAGTGAAGTTGTTTATACTTGTGGTGATAAGGGTGGCAAGTCACTTTCTTAGGTTTTTTTCTTTTTTTCTTTTTTTTTTTCTTTCTTGATCCTTTTATTCTCTTTCTCTTTCTCTTTTTAGTTTGTATTATCTTTTATTATTGTAGTTAAAACTTTTAATAAAAGTATTATTTAAAAAGACAGCTATAGAAATATTACTCAGGCTTGTGGCAATGGAATAAAACATGAACAAGTATAATATGTAAATAATATCCTAATGTTGTTTAGAATCAAGACGTATAGAATATGTTTTATATTCTATTTCTCATTCTCTTTAGGGATTTGTAACTGGGGCGAAAGATGGAATTGTGGCTCTTTGGGATGACAGCTTTGAACGGTGTCTGAAAACATATGCCATTAAGCGAACTGCATTAGCCCCAGGCTCCAAAGGTAATTTGAAGTTTTTATAGATTATTATAATACAAACTGTTTCTACTGTTTTAAAATAATGACTTTTGTGATCTGATTCAGCTGGACATTTTTGAAGTGTGAAAGCAGGAAGGAACAACAGATGGGACTTCTGAGTAGTTGAGAGCTTGTCACTTAATTCCCATAATGTGCTATATCTGCTTTCATGCAGTGAAAGGAGTCATACTGGAACTGAATTTTACTATGTAACTTTGAGTAAGCCAGGTCCTGAATCAGACAGCTCAAAGACTAGTTGGAACTCTATTGTTATAGGGTATAATAGCAGAATCTTGAAAGCCTGCCAGAGTTTCCCTCTGTCCCCTCTTCTACCAAGCAGAAGCAAGATGAGTTTATTCTGAGTTTCTTTCTCATGCCCTCTCCATTCTCAAGACTGAATTGTCATTTACTTTCTCATAACAGTTCTTGCATTCTTTCTTCAAAGTTATCTCTGAATTCCTCTACAGCAACCTTCTGCCCTTCTGCTGCATAGGGGTCAGAGACCATGCCCTCGCTGCCATTTCCTTCACCTTCACCTTCTCCTTCTCCTGGCTTGCTCTCGGCAGCACCAAGAGGGGGACTTGTTGCTCCACCCATGCTGAGGCAGCTGGTGAACTCAGTGCCAAAATGGCTACCCGAGGAGGTGGTGAGCACTCATAAGAGCAGCCAAACAGATGGTCGCTCTCTCCCTCTCTCTTGTGGGTCAGGTGGATATCTTTCTTTTTGGAGCTATAGACCAGATGATTTTGGGTGGCAGGTCACATCTGGTTCATGGGTCGTGGGTTGCCAACCCCTATCCTACAGTAACTAAAAGATTAGAAGAATCAGTTGTATTCAAATATTTGTTGCTTTATTCAGTGTGTTCCCATTTTCGTATGCTGCCTGAACATTTTATACAGATATTGAAAAGTAACACAAAAACATTGCAATATAAGGTGGTAAAATCATAATTTTTAGGAAAAGATAGAGGATGTTTTTTTGATATTAAATATTCAATCATTCACAAATAAATTATATAAAGTGCTATTTGTTTTAAATAATGCTGAATTTGTTGAGCTCTGAAATGTGTACAGTAGTGCTATAAATGTTCTCAATTTCAGTGTAGACATTTTCATAAATAGCAGTTTATTAGACTTTTAATCCAGTAGTAAATAGATCTTTAAAAGTTATTTATGTATGTATGTATGTATGTATGTATTTATTTATTTATT